TGTGTGTATGTGTGTGAGTGTGTGTGTGAGTATGTATGCGTGTGTGTGTGCATGCGTGTGTGTATGTGTGTGAGTGTGTGTGTGAGTATGTATGCGTGTGTGTGTGCATGCGTGTGTGTATGTGTGTGAGTGTGTGTGTGAGTATGTATGCGTGTGTGTGTGCATGCGTGTGTGTATGTGTGTGAGTGTGTGTGTGAGTATGTATGCGTGTGTGTGTGCATGCGTGTGTGTATGTGTGTGAGTGTGTGTGTGAGTATGTATGCGTGTGTGTGTGCATGCGTGTGTGTATGTGTGTGAGTGTGTGTGTGAGTATGTATGCGTGTGTGTGTGCATGCGTGTGTGTATGTGTGTGAGTGTGTGTGTGAGTATGTATGCGTGTGTGTGTGCATGCGTGTGTGTATGTGTGTGAGTGTGTGTGTGAGTATGTATGCGTGTGTGTGTGCATGCGTGTGTGTATGTGTGTGAGTGTGTGTGTGAGTATGTATGCGTGTGTGTGTGCATGCGTGTGTGTATGTGTGTGAGTGTGTGTGTGAGTATGTATGCGTGTGTGTGTGCATGCGTGTGTGTATGTGTGTGAGTGTGTGTGTGAGTATGTATGCGTGTGTGTGTGCATGCGTGTGTGTATGTGTGTGAGTGTGTGTGTGAGTATGTATGCGTGTGTGTGTGCATGCGTGTGTGTATGTGTGTGAGTGTGTGTGTGAGTATGTATGCGTGTGTGTGTGCATGCGTGTGTGTATGTGTGTGAGTGTGTGTGTGAGTATGTATGCGTGTGTGTGTGCATGCGTGTGTGTATGTGTGTGAGTGTGTGTGTGAGTATGTATGCGTGTGTGTGTGCATGCGTGTGTGTATGTGTGTGAGTGTGTGTGTGAGTATGTATGCGTGTGTGTGTGCATGCGTGTGTGTATGTGTGTGAGTGTGTGTGTGAGTATGTATGCGTGTGTGTGTGCATGCGTGTGTGTATGTGTGTGAGTGTGTGTGTGAGTATGTATGCGTGTGTGTGTGCATGCGTGTGTGTATGTGTGTGAGTGTGTGTGTGAGTATGTATGCGTGTGTGTGTGCATGCGTGTGTGTATGTGTGTGAGTGTGTGTGTGAGTATGTATGCGTGTGTGTGTGCATGCGTGTGTGTATGTGTGTGAGTGTGTGTGTGAGTATGTATGCGTGTGTGTGTGCATGCGTGTGTGTATGTGTGTGAGTGTGTGTGTGAGTATGTATGCGTGTGTGTGTGCATGCGTGTGTGTATGTGTGTGAGTGTGTGTGTGAGTATGTATGCGTGTGTGTGTGCATGCGTGTGTGTATGTGTGTGAGTGTGTGTGTGAGTATGTATGCGTGTGTGTGTGCATGCGTGTGTGTATGTGTGTGAGTGTGTGTGTGAGTATGTATGCGTGTGTGTGTGCATGCGTGTGTGTATGTGTGTGAGTGTGTGTGTGAGTATGTATGCGTGTGTGTGTGCATGCGTGTGTGTATGTGTGTGAGTGTGTGTGTGAGTATGTATGCGTGTGTGTGTGCATGCGTGTGTGTATGTGTGTGAGTGTGTGTGTGAGTATGTATGCGTGTATGTGTGCGTGTGTATGCGTGAGAGTGTGTATGTGTGTGTGTGTGTGTGTATGTGTGTGAGTATGTATGTGTGTGTGAGTGTGTGTATGTGTGTGAGTGTGAGTATGTATGCGTGTATGTGTGCGTGTGTATGCGTGAGAGTGTGTATGTGTGTGTGTGTGTGAGTATGTATGCGTGTGTGTGTGCATGCGTGTGTGTATGTGTGTGAGTGTGTGTGAGTATGTATGCTATGTATGCGTGTGCGTGTGTGTGTGTGCGTGTGTGTGTGTGTATGCGCGACGCTCGCTTTAAAAACACGCCGGTTACAAACCGGAAGTGTCGGTGTTTAATCGAGCGCGTTCTGTCTGCGCAACAGCGACGCAGCCTGGCATCAGACTCCAGCAGCAGACGCCTGTCAGTTCTACACTATCACCTGCTGTGACACACACATACACACACACACACACACTGCACGGGGATTGATTTAGATAAGAGCCATACACGGATCTCCTACGTGCCCTTTAGAGTTAGAAAAACATGTCTGACAGCTGCTGCTAGCATGTGAGCTAATGCTTAGCAGCGCAGGAGGAGTCATGCTCAGGTCAAAGTAGTAGCACTGTCTTGCTGCTTCATTTATTTCGAAGAAAAACATGGCAGAGATCTTTTCCCGCTGGAATATGTTTAGAGTCGGGTGGAGAGGCGTGAAGTTGAGCAGGAAAGTCACTCATGCAGCTGTTTCTGCGCAGACGCAGCGCCGCTACAGCACAGTGAGTTCACGCTCATTATTATTATTATTATTATTATTATCGTTCATAATTTAATCCTCAGTAATTATAATCAGCCAACAAGCACCCCAAACCACAGCAAGACGAGTAGTGTTACGAGCTCTTAGGCTTGTGTTGTTTTGTTTTCATGAGTTTCGGGTCAGTTTCTGGCTGTGTTTCAAAACGTTGTGAGCTGCCTATC